AGCTGGAGTTATATTCTGTCAGGGAAATTGTGTTTTAAACAGTTAAAGCGGTGTCTTGGCCAAACCATAGAGTGTCCAGTGATATAAATCTATTAGGATGAAACGTTATTTCTCATTTCATAGAAAAGTGATTTGTGTCTAAGTTTTTTTTTCTTTAAAACATCAATTTTAAAGATAGACAATGATCAATCAGTTGCATATAATTTAGTCACATAATTTTCCTGCTTTTTAATAAAAACTGAGACTAGCTATTGAGTCATGGTTAGAGTCAGATTATAATAATACATATGGCGTTATGTATTATAGCTCTACCATATGAAAGGTGCCTTTTTCTCTAAATAGTTTTGTAAATTCTCACACTGTTTATAAGCATTTGTCTGTGTCACACTTCACCTAAATCCCACATACCCATTCAATATTTTCCTTGCTCAAGTGTTTTGCTCCGTTCTCTGAGATCTTCTGGTATTGCTCTTTCTATCTGTTAGTATTGTCTGGTTGCTAATTGCCTGTCACGGAGATCTCGGATCCCTGGAGCCTCTTAGGTGAGGTCAGAGTAGGTAATTCAATCACACGCTAGCTGCTGGGTTTCCCAGGCAGGGATCTCAGCTCACTGACGTTGGAGCAAGAACCCTTCTGACAACGTCAGCGAGCCCAAGTCCAGTGCTTTGTGTCTAATGCATAAGAGATTCGGCATTTAACCCAAACACTTTCACCTAAATAAAAGTTAGATATCTGTCTAACTTAGCAAAAACTTGAAGTTCAAAGTTTAACGGTGTTTACTTGTTCGTGCCTTGGCTTGCAGCTCTTATGATGTGCCATACATATTGTATGGCAATTTCACACAGATCGGTTATTGTGGTTTTATTCATCCTTTAGCCTCTCTTAAACATAGAGGCTCACTTTTTCTGCGTGAGAACCCTTATTTTCTTCAGAGGCAATTGAATCACTTGATAGTTTTAGATAAAGTCTGAGCGTAGTGCTGTATTCCTTAAAAATGCAGGAGTAAAAGGAGGTATAAAAAGTGACTTTGTCCATTTTAAAATTGTCCATTTTAAAATTCCAACTTAAATCTGAGTTTGTGTTGTCTGACCTTTTTTCACCATTACGTTACACCATTACATGTATAACATCCTTTTTGTAATATTGAGGAGAAAAAGATCTTCTAGAAAGGGTATGAACACTGACAAATAGAGGTGGCATTTAAATCTGAATAAATGCTTCTGCTGGCTGAGACCATTTTTTAAATTTACCTGTAAGCCTGGAGCAGCTGATCTGTGTCTCAGGTAGCCGTGATCCGTGTGTGTTTGAGTGCTCCATTCAGAAGGCAGCGATGAAGAAACGAGAGCAGTGTCGCATGTTCCTCAAGGAAATGTATGTGCCAGCTGTTCTGAAATACCGATTCTTTTTTTCCTTTTTTTTAAAGTTGAATTTTTAATTTCTCTGCATATTATTAGTTTTATTCAGATAAGATGTTCTTCTCAACAAATGTTAGGCATGTCTATTCTGCGCATTGAAGAGCTGCATGCACAACTTACCTGCTTTGAGTATACGATCTGGCTGCTAGCCCACATCACGGGCTTTTTAGTTTGTCTTCACGGGTATAAAAGTATGTGTTGAACACCTGTGTTTGCTTTTGTGGAAGGCTTTACCTGACATTTTCTCAAAACTTTAAACTAACACACTGTCTTGGAAGGAAAATGTTGGTTAGACTTTAAACTCTCAAATCTCTGGTCTCTGCTAAACCACTCACCAGGGTGCTGTACAGATGCAAGGAAACAGAATTTCCATCTTTACACATTGAAAAATAAATGGGGAGGTGAAGGGTCTTAAACACAGCCATGCCTAATTTTAAGACAACTAATAGTTCTATTCCTTTTGAGAAGAAATTCTCATGCTTAGAGTTAAACACAGATGTGAATGTTTTGGCGTGATAGATATCAGGAGACATGAGCTCTGTCTGTTACAAAGAAGCATTAAGCGTGTGGATGTCTCCCACAGACTGCAGCTTTAGTTTATGGGGCACGCAGAATCAGGGTGTATCTTTAATGAATATTTTCCCTATTTACTGACTGTCCTGCTAAGTGCATGTCTTCTGAGCATCTAGAGGGTTCCCTTGCTGTGGTCCTATGGATTAATCACACGGACTAAACTTGGTTGTTAGCACTAGCATGACTGGACCTATAGAAATATGATTAAGATTGTCATTACGCTTTTTCAACAAAAATCAATCTATGAAAGTAGCTTTTTTAAAAAAAAAAAACACTGCATATGAAGCCCTTTAATCAGAAGGCTTTGTAACTCACACGCTGGGTTTATTTGCTTATTTTAGTGTATTTGGCAGAAAAATCAATATTATAGTATAACTCAAATAAAAATAGGCAATATATAGTACTTCCCATAGAAGAAGAGAAAGAGGTGTTCTCACGTTGCGCCTGCTTTCTCTTCGTCATGCTAGTATGTGCCAACTTTATGCTTAATAAAGCCAACTGAAGTGTAAAGTACTTAGTCATGCAACTAGCGTTATATTTAACTCATTTTAAGTTTATTCTTCCTGAAATCCACCATCCTTTCTGTTTGAGCAACAAATTTTTAACAACCCACACAATTAAACAGGGATCTCGGAAAAAGCCACTCAGCACCCACTGGTCCTCCCAGCAGTCAAAAATATATAGTTTTTAGCATCTTTGCTAGGTGGTGGGAGAAGCAGAGAGAACATAAAGAAATATGTATGTGTATATATACCTATGTATATATACTATGCAGGAACTCTTACTCTACAGCTCACATGCTGGGTTTATTTGCTTATTTTAGTGTATTTGGCAGAAAAATCAATATTATAGTATAACTCAAATAAAAATAGGCAATATATAGTACTTCCCATAGAAGAAGAGAAAGAGGTGTTCTCACGTTGCGCCTGCTTTCTCTTCGTCATGCTAGTATGTGCCAACTTTATGCTTAATAAAGCCAACTGAAGTGTAAAGTACTTAGTCATGCAACTAGCGTTATATTTAACTCATTTTAAGTTTATTCTTCCTGAAATCCACCATCCTTTCTGTTTGAGCAACAAATTTTTAACAACCCACACAATTAAACAGGGATCTCGGAAAAAGCCACTCAGCACCCACTGGTCCTCCCAGCAGTCAAAAATATATAGTTTTTAGCATCTTTGCTAGGTGGTGGGAGAAGCAGAGAGAACATAAAGAAATATGTATGTGTATATATACCTATGTATATATACTATGCAGGAACTCTTACTCTACAGAAAAATCCATTTTGGATGATTGTACATCCCGGTATCTGTCAGCATAAGAGACATCGCTGAACTTTTGCCAAATTCAGCATGTTCTCCAAAGTTATGAGAGCTACGAGAAACCTTAGCTGGGCTTTATGCTTGCTAAGCTTTTTAGTAGACCTTATAGTGTGTATGGTTTTTCATGCACTTTAAATCATAAAAAACCCTGATGTTCATCAAGACCAGACTACATTACAAAGGGTAAGTTTCCCACAGTCTTCAAATATATACATATTCAAGATGTTCAATGTTAGTAGATCAAACTCAATCTTTGAAGGGCTGCGTAAAGATTATATTTGCCATTGCTTCATTTAAACCTTTGTATTGCCTTCTGCTCTTTACCCCAAAGAAACTTTGGTTTGATTTTTTGTTTTGTAATTATACTGTAGTGCTCTGTCTGTGCTTTATTGTTGTATAATAAGAAAGTTGTGACAAATGTCTATTTAGTCCAAAAATTAGGCACAGCAAATAATTGGAAAGAAGTTGGTAAAACTATTCAAATATATTATACACAGGTGTAATATATTTGCTATCTCTGTGTATATCTTTATTATTTTGTAATAGCAACCAGAAACTGCAATGTAATCTTGGTATCTTTGTTCATGATACTTTACACACACAGGACAAATGGTCCCTCCCTCACCAAATCTAAAGTATATGCTGTGCAAAGGGCAGTATAATATAGAGTCGGGAGCCTGCATCTATTTTTTATTATGAAATGCAGATATTGTACTTACACGTGGGTAGGTACATAATTTTATTTCTCTAAGTGTAAAATTTAAAGGATCAGATGTCAGAAAATGTAATCACTGAATTTTAAATTACAACTTATAACTTTAATTGCTAAGCAAAAGAGACAGATGTAGCTGTACTGCTGTATCCACATATATTGTAAAATATATTTAAATCATGCGTATGCAGGGAGACAAATGAGAGAACTCCACCATCCAAATATTAAATTACACATTTTGAAGCAGAATAGTGTTTTAAGTGTACGTGTGTATAATGTTTTCTGTCTCTGGATTGCTCTCCCTGATGCAGTTAGACAGAATCTGTATTTAGTCAGAAATCTTTCAATAGAACGGGCTACCAGATGGGACCAGTAACAATGCAGAGAGGCATTGAACCACCACAGACATTTGGTGCTTAGAATAATAAAAAGACTATAAAATTAGATTAGTTGAGTCTAATTTGGAATTGGTATATTCCCTGTGCACTCTCACAGCTCTTGGGCAGATAAAGCCTGGAGATTTAGTACTGTCAGGACAGAGGACTCCAACTTCCAGTAAAAGAAAAAAAGGCATTCTGGGAGGTCACGGAGGGCAGCACAGTGACCTCCAATGATTTACAGGCCTTTAGCTTAATGAAATTGTTTCAGTGACATGACGGTAAAAGCTCATAATGGATTGGATGCCCTAATGTAATGAAATTACTCCCTTCTGCCTTTAAAAAAAAAAAAAAAAAAAAAGGCGCAATTAATATTTACTGAGACCTGACAGGCTTCAGTGTGCGGTAGCGTGCAGCGCTGTCAGACAGCAGCGAGCAGAGCCAGAGCAGCGTGGCAGCTGAGCAGCCCTGCGCCGGGTGGCGAGCAGGCGCTGCGAGGGGGTGGAGGGACACCTCGGTGACGGGGAAGCCCCCAACCTGGTGCTCTGAGGCAGCTCTGCCCGTACCGGCCAGCCTTCATCCTCTCCCTTCCTTTCTGCAGGCAACTGGACAACAACCAGATCAGCTGCATCGAAGATGGAGCCTTCCGAGCCCTGCGCGACCTGGAGATCCTGTGAGTTGACTTGGTGCTGTGCTGGGGCGGCGGGGGGGTGGCTCTCCCCGTGCTGCAGTGCTGGGTGAATCTCGGGGCTTGATATCCTTCCTTCCCACCTCAGACCGGCGGTATAGGTAGCAAAGTGAAATCTCACACTTCCCCCAGGCTGGGGTTACTGCTAATTAAACCACAATAGGCGACTTCTCTGCTACCGCTCCTGAGGAGCAGGGATATTGCCGTGCTCGCTGCTGCGTGGAACAGATGGGGTTCAGCAGTATTCAAAGTGCATCCGATGTGTGCTCTGCAGCCAGAAACCTGGCCAGGTCTGTGTAATGTCGAGTACCGGATGGGTAACAGGTTCATGGGGAACAATATTATGAGATATCTGACAATTGCCCTAGACAAAAAGCTGTTTAAAAGGTGTTCGGTATGTAAGAGGGAGGAGAGACGGGCGTTTGGCAGGCTTGTTCAGTGCAGTCATTGGCTTTTGGGGAGGATCCTTCTCTGAGGGCTGAAATAACACCACGTTGTGCTCTTCATGTACCACAAACTTTACACATCGGCTGTTAAAGCTGCAGCACAGACCAAAAAAAATTAAAAAAGGATTTGACAGTGACAGCTGACTCTAACAGAAAAAGCACATTAGATTTAGAGCACCGTCATTGTAATGTAAAATCCAATATTACTCAGAAATCAGTATTTGAGCAGATAATTTGCTTATTACTAACAGTTACTTGTTCACTTAGAGACCTTTTCTGGAATAGGTTTTGACTATATGAACTGATATAAAGCTTTCCCTGTTACCTGAAAGTTACTACTGCAAAGCTGAAAGTGTTAATACTTGTGGAAGCACACAGTCCTAAGCCAAAATGGAGAGGGAGCTGGGGGGGACCCCTCCAAAATTCAAACCCTCAGCACCTGAACTGGAGTTAATACCGGTCCAGCACTGAAACGATATACACTTAAATACAGCAGGGAAGGCCTGCTCAGGCTGCTGAAAAGCTTGCCCTTAAATTACATGGTATGAAACAGCAAATGGTAGACGGTTGAAGTAAGCACCTGCCTCACACAGTCCTGGCACCTGGAGATTCAGCAGACTCAAGGCATTGCCTTTGCTTCTGAGAACAGGCAATACAACGGGCTTTACAGGCAGTGCTGTGCCACGCACCACAGTGTTTTTGAATATGTATGTGATAATATTGGGAATTCTTCCCCAAGGGCTCTACCCACCTTGGACTGATGCTCAAAGGAGTTTTGCTATCAGTTTCAACGAAAGCAAGTTCAGCTTTCTGAGGGACCTGGGAGTGGTGGCTGTGCGTGTTTGTCTGTCACGGGCACCTGAGACATGGCCCCTCTCTCTCCCAGGCTGGGATATTGATCAGATAGTGTGTTGCTCATATTGAGCTAACAGTAGGTATCTGCAGAGTTTCTTATCTGGGAACTTATGTTATCAAAAGTATTGTTGGAATTCTATATTAACAGCGCTCTTCAGGAAAAGTAATGTGTTACCACTATAAAGTTTTACTTGTCTGTCAGATTGAAAAGTCTACTGTGTGGTGAAAGAAAGGAAGAAAAGAAAAAGAATCATGAACTCCTATAAAATTGACTTTTTTTTTTTTTTATGGACTGATTTTCCATATCCACAGAGAGCGAAATCAGTCCTCCACTGACAGTAGACCGTGCTATAACTTTCACTAAAATAGGCTGGACAATAAATGGAACCTTTTTTGTAATATACCGAGTTCTGCATGCTCTGAAGAAGTTGCCAGGAATGCGTTCCTTCTCCCCAGGATGTAGTAAATGTTGAATTAGTTTATTTACCTCTCTGCTTTTAATTGGTTAATTCTATGCCAGTTATTTGTGGGTGGGAGAAGAGGAGGATGTATAAAATATATCATAATCAGTTCTTTAATGCATTTTTAATTTTCAGCACAGACATACTGCTACAGGAAAAATCCATCTTCATTCTAAAAGATGAGAAAATAGATTGATAGTATCTATTTCTAAAGGTATTTTTCTTGCAGTCACAAAATATGAGTTTCATACTTCCAATCTAATCTGAATTTTTTTCCAAGTTTTTCTTCAAAGAAAGTTTGAGTATTTAAATCTCGCTATCAAAATAAATTTGCTTAATGCCCCAGAGACTATCATATCTTGAGTTGTAAAAGTCATAAATGTTAAAAAATTAAAGCGATTTGAACCATCAAAGAATATTAACAAGAGAAACCAAATTTCATCATTTCAGACCCACTATATATTTTATGCAGATATGTTTTAACCTGTAATGCAATATATAGAAAATATTTAATGATTCTTGCTAAAGTTAATCTAATTATCTGTTTGAACAGTTTGCAAGGGTACCAAATAATGTATTTCTTCTTTATCTTACTGAAATCTTGTGACCTTTCTGATATCAAACGTTTACATTTCTGCATCTTTTCTCTGCACACCCGTCTACAGAATTCTAAATTCTGTAGATAACGCGGGGCAGAGACAAAGTGCTTAGCATTACTCAAAAAAATAAATTAAGAACACTTTCTTTAAAGGCACTTTGGTTTCTGGATTGCACTTTTCATTCTCCTTGCATTCCTCAAAAACCATGAGTGCAAGAAGCTTGGTGATTTGGTAGATGCAGGAGCAGAAGGAAGTTGTGCAGTTATCCTTCAAAATGAAGAGCACTCCATAGTCCATGTTACTTATTTCTGCTTATCAAGCAAGCTGTTTTCATTTACTACTTTTATTTTCTTTTTCCTCTGTTACGAATAAGTTCTTGTACCAACAAATAGCACAGAGGCAGAGATAAAAACAAGACTGAAATTTGTGACTCATTTCAGTACTTGAAATGGTGCGGTGAGTTGCTAACTCCAGCTGAAGCTTGGATCAGACCAAGGCACTGATTGCAGCTCCCAACATAAACACTGTCTTTTGATCACTTTTTTGTTTATGAGCTTCTGTGTTTCAGATGTCCCAAAAGGTGTCCCTGATCCTCTGATCTGACCTATGTAGACAGACCATAATGCAGGTGCCAAGTGCTACTGGTGACTCTGAGTTTTGGGTTAAAAAGCTGCAAAAATGTTGAGTATAAAGTGCTTTGGTGCCTTCTGTTGATTGTCTTTGCCCCTGCAGCAAGGTGAAGATAATGTCTGAGAAATGGCATGCAGAAATGACATGCTTACTTAAACATCCTTTCTTGGTAGTTTTGTATTGAGGATAGTTTTGTTCATTTTTGCATCAGATTTTCTGTACGGCTTCCCATAAAGGTTTTGGTTTTAATCTGTTGATAAAATAGGGATTTTTCTTGTTGACATACTTCCTTTCCCCCTTTTTGTAAGACGATAAGGCATATTTCAGTGGGTTTGTTCTTGCATTCCAACACACAGAAAGGTGTGTGCAACCACTGAAACAGCAATAAAATGTAAAAGGGGCATGTATTTGTAAAGGGGTGGCAAAAGTTATTAACTAACTTATGACCTGTTGGAACAGAAGTGTGCAGAAAAGTTGAAAAAAATTGTTGTGAAACTTCCGCTAACTAAAGTGTCATTAAAATTGGTGGAAACTTCCGCTAACTAAAGTGTCATTTTTAGTAGGAGAAGATTTTCTGCTCTGCTTAAGTTTTAGTTATGTCCTGTGGCAATACCTGGCAATAACAGTATTATTGATAAATATTTATTAGTGTAGCTGTAAGCACATTTAAAGATTATGAAAAAAACCCTCACAAAACAAAACAAAAACCCCAAAGAATTCCTCAGAATAGTTGTCCAGTATTCCTTATGGTGTGTGGCAATATGATGTTCGTATCCTTTGTAGATTAGAAATTAGTCCATAGCTTTATTTCCAAATGTTCAAAATTATGAAGCAGAGATAAAACTTTCAGAGCTCAGAATTCCACCTTCAATCTCTTAGGATACACGAATAAAAGGAATTAATTTCTAGGTGGTTCAACAAGCTCAGTCAAACTGGATAAACTAGTAATATTGAGTGAATGATCATGCTATTGTCATTAGACTGGAAGTGCTGAACAATACTTGTGTTTTTAGGATCTGTATCTCAGTAAGATACAGAACTCAATTTAGCAAAAACGCCTTTTAATTAATTTGTTATTGTTTTGCCTCGCTGGGGTAGCTTGAAAACTGTGTGGTGACATGGCAGTTGTGCCATGTGGACAGGACAGAAAGACTTATGAGTCACTGTTGGCAACTTAGGCGGAGTGTTTTCCTTGGTTTATATTGTAAAAGCTGTTTTTCCTCCTACTTTATAACGATAGCCAGAGGGACTGGAGATTGAACATATTTTGTTCATTGCAGATTTTCTGCAAAAAAAATTCCCAAACCCAAAAGATTTTAGCACACCAAGAGCTAATCCTAGGAGGACGGTGGATAGTATTCTATGAAAGAAGGCAAATGAGTTCTTGCTGTACAGAGCTAATACGGAATGATTTGGGGTTTTGTTTGTTCTTAGTCATGTTAATTGTTGTAGGTCTTTCATATAATATCTCTGAGCCTGAAAATCCTCTTTCCTGAGTTTCATATGCTTTTTGAAATGAATGAGCACTGACTTTGTCATTGAGTCTGTAGCAACAAACTATGCACGCAGGAATCCGCCATTCAACTCTGGGCGCTCTAGTGTGAAAAGTCATGATAATTCACTCACAAGTAATACTGAAGAAGTGCAAGTACAGTCACCCAAATATCCACAGCAACTTGAAGTTGTAACTTCAATTGCAAATGAGCCCTAAATATTTGATCTTAAAAAAAAAAAAGTTACGTTTTCAGATTGTAAAATGTAAACATAAATGAAAACACACCACCCATCCCCAAAATCTTAAAATGAAAATAATAGGAGTCTTAGAAATTAAAATTGTTCTATCAGTGTTTGTATATATAACCTTTTCTCTCCAAACACTCCTGCCTCGCTCTTCTTCCTGCTCCATGACAAACGTCCAGAAAAGCACACAGCTACAAGTGCCGCGCGCTGGTTTCTTTCGAACTCTTGATTCAGCGCCGAGTCATGTTCTGCGG